TTGTCTGTTGTCGAACCGTTCTTAGCAAGTTGCAGAACCATCGACAAGTGCTGAAACCGAAGATGGTCAGAAGAGACGAGCGAAGTTGGCCAGCAAGTTGTGGCGACAAGCCAGTGGAGCTGGGTTCCGTCGTCAAAAATGGGACGTGTTCCCGGAACAGTCTGGAGCTGTATTCTCCCCATGGCCCTGGAGGCGAACCTGGAGGGACCTGGCGAACGAGCGCACCTGACATCCGAGCCCCGTGGAAGCAGCTCGTCTTTCCGGTGCATTGTCTGGCGGCGGGGGTGCTGTTATGCCAGCGAGTCCTCGTCAAACGTCCGTGCCTCTGAAAAAGGCAATCTGGGTCAAGGCCAGCCCGCAGTCCGCCTGGCGCGATCAACTCGACGGCGTGAACACGCGCGGCGCCCCTCTGGCCCACGTGCATTGAGTCAGCTGCGCACGTGACAGCGAGCCGGCGTCCTCGTGTCTGGTGGTCTGACGCATGGCGCGGCAACCCCATTGGAGGAGTCTGCCCTGACGACCAGCGGCGCTTCTGATTGGACATTTTGGTTGGACCCGGTGTAAATAAAAGAAGCCCTGCGGCGCGTCGCGATCGGCGGTCCTGAGAGAGGAGTCCCCATGTCGGAGAGCCGACATGTGTATGAGTCAGCGGTCTTAGGCGAAAGGCTGATCTATGTGTTAGAGAGGAGAGCTCGGCTCTTCGAGTCTCTGTCGGCCCCAGTGCCGAAATTGTAACGCCTCTGTATATATGCTGTACATAAACCTTGTTTAACTCACCGTCGTCTCGTCCGCTCGTCTTATCAGCTCTGCGCAGAAGCAGTCGCGAGCTGAGAAACATACGCTACCAAACGGCTGGTGACCTTCCCGGCGAAGTTGAAAGCAGTGGCGCCTTCGAGGCCGTGTTGGCGTCGCCGTCTTGCGCAACAGTGGTGGCTCCGGTGGGATCGGTCCGTCGTTCGCAACACTGGCAACCGCCATCGGACCCGTTTCGCCCATTTTGAAGGGACGAAGGCGCGTTCTTCGGGAGGTATCTACAGAGGTGTATTTTACATTATTTACAAGCGAGCTTTTCTTGCCACATGACAAACATTTAGACGAAGATGTCGTCCTACATCGTGACGATCAAGTCGAAGGCTCTACATCGAAAAGGCATATCCCGGCCTTCCTTTTCTCCGAGTCTCTCTAAGGCCCTTATACAGCCACTTATAATAATCATTGTTTACATCTCTTGCCTCATTACCTGGCGTCCTTTGGCCATCAAATGGCCCTTACGCCGCAGAACACGAAACATCATCATCATCATAACTTTATTGGAGGCTACATCGATTCCTAATTACATTACTGGCATAGAAACCTTGCACTATGCTTCATCAGCAGGCTCAGCAAACTTCAGTCTTTATGTCTAACATTTCCGCCACATGCACTAGCAGACAATGAAGGCGTACAGAAAAAAAAACACAGCTTTTTTTTTTTGTCACTGTTCTCATTGCCATGAAAGAACACTGCAGAATAGGCGACAATACAAGCCATCATTAGAAACGGAGAACGTAAGCTAATGCAATGCAATGCATAGTGATCCGAGAAGTGCGCAAATCGTACATATTGGGTGGCGCCAGATTTTTCTCGGTAATATTGTGATTGAGTACCTTTCAGTATTTTTTTCCGGTGCAGAACTTATCGGTAAGGAGTATCCAAGGACAATATGGACCTCAAACTCTATACAGCAAAACAGTTACATTAGAACAGCTACACAATTAATACGGATTCACAGCGGGCTGGACTGCAGGATAATACTATCTCGTAACCGAAATCGCGCATTTTATTCTTTTGTTTTTACTCTAAGTTCAACATACTATATAAGTTAGCAATTGTATGAGTATCAAACTTTGTACTAATCGTGGATTGTGTTACCTCTGTTGTCTAATCCCTCCTTTTCAACTATTTCTCATGTAACCTACATGTAACCTCTGTAATGCCAAAAGTTCCGTCTCCGTGGCCGAACGGCCCTGGCAGTAATAATTAGAATAATATCTCGATCTAACGTCCCAAACCCACCACATGATTATGAGAGACGCCGTAGTGGAAGGCTTCGGAAATTATGACCACCTAGTGTTCTTTAACGTGCATTCGCATCGCATAGAGCACGGGTTCGTTTCGCCTCAATGAAAATTGAAGATAGCCTCGGCCGGGATCGGACAGGTGCCGTAGCCAATGATTCACCGAGGCGGACTCCCTCAGCGTAAATAAACAAACATTGTAATAAAGAAAAGACATTATACTAATTTAGTGCAACGAAGCTTTCTCCGCGCAGATCAACTTTTTATTTTCACGTTTCCGCGAGTGGACGCACGCTGCACCTTGAATTTCGATGCAAATTTCGATGCATACACGAAACTGCGTTACAAACTGACACATTGTGCTTCGATCGACAGAGCTGACACAATCCGCAGCCAGCAAGCACGTTATTGCATCACTCCTATAAGGCTCTAATCTTTTTTGATTAGCAGTTTTAATTGGGCGATCGCAACAACATCGCGTACCTAGGCTGCATGCGCACTCGTTGCCCGTGTCCACAGCTCCGTAAGTATGCCTCCCCACTCCCAACCATCTTATCTAGCACGAAGCCTCCGCGTGAGGGCAACCCAAAATGCGCAGTCTGTCGCACGGTAACACGCAACGCACTCCGAGAGACGGGGAAAGCAGGAGAGGAGGCACCGCCGCCAATGTCGCGCCGAGGCGCCGGCGCGACGGGAAGCTTCGGCGCCTTCGCCCACGCCAGCGGCGGCCCTACGCCAGCTACGCGATCTGTTGGACGCTACGGCGGTGCCTTCGTAGGTGTTCTGTGGTAACACTAGCCGACCGCAACCCGTCGTACGACTGACAATCGGGTCTTCTTTATTGCCTTCTATAGTTCGAACGTTCGTAGGGGCCAGATGAATTACCGAAGAGAGGCAGGTTAGAGGCCCGCGCATACCTAGATTTATCCGCACGCTAAAGAACCCCAGACGATAGCAGTTTCCGGGGCTCTCCACTGCGGCGTCTTGTCATAATCATATCGTCGTTTGGGGACTTTAAACTTCACTGATTAAAGAGAGACGTGCATATGACGTGTGGAGAAGGAACAGAAAGCAACGAAGAACTCACTGACGCGGGGGCTAAATGACTGACCGACTTGCTGCTCTTCTCTCGGTCTGCGAGTTACGCCCTCTGTCTTGACGTAGAGGCAGTATGATATAAAATAATATTGGCTAGATCAGCACGTTGGCCTTGAAGGAACCGAGGGACGGTGCATGTCCTGGACACCAGGAAAAAAGGCACGTTTTCCATGACGTAATGAATACCAAGACCATAGGGTGCGGCTATTTCAATGTGCAATCGGTATCGCACTAACGCAGCGTTGATCTTTTTTTATTTTGTTTTCCACGCGAAGGCTGCAAAGGCGAAGCTAGAAAGGTCCTGAGATTTTCTGAGCCAGCTTTGCATACAAGGCCACCTGTCGCGTGGAGCATGCAAGGCTTTCGCTTTAATAAATGACGAGTTTGTGACGGCGTTATGACCCTTGCCGGAATAACGTGGAGATGCTGTATTTGCCATGATCTAACCTGTGTTTTTCGTTAGTGATTACGGCTCGTAGTACTTAAACCGACGAAGATGACTATAGGAAGGAGCGTCGTATGGCATTGCAGGTCAGAATTCCTGTCTGTTATGCGAGTGGGACTTTCGGCGTAATGCGAATTATACGCAAAGTACACTGATCCATTGTAAGTTTTTTGGCGGAATGCAGACGTCTACGTTACGGCGCCAGCTGGCCATAATTGCCTCAAAAGCGGCACATATTCCAAATATTTTCGGGGCCGCCGGGAGGAGAACAGAAGCCACCATGCGGCACAACACCGTTCGCCACTGTTGTGGTATGCTTCTTTTCAGCGTCGTGACTGTGCACTCGTTTTGCACAATGCTGACCCAACGAATCGAAAACATCGAATGCTAGATCAGTCGATCATCACGCAAGCGCACTGCGTTTACACGGGCCAGCTCAGGGTAGAGAAGAGTCCCTTACATACCGGTCATACGCTACAATTACATCCCACGACATGTCATTAAACGAGGATTACCGTCTCGTACTGTCTATCCTATCATAACGGCAAAGACATGGCAGGCCCCGGCAAATCACGAAAACTGCGAACACCAACGAAGGGAAAGGAGTACACGTACAGCGGCGGCCCCACCACCTCCCCATGCCTGTCAATATTGTGGTGGTTTTTCATCTCCTAACCGAGGCGCTTGTACAATTTAACCGACTGCCACGTATGTGTTGGAAGCATCACAATATATCTGCGGCTAACAATATAGCTCACAATAAAACTGAAAGGGCGTGCGTAAAAACACCGATACATTTAAACAAGTTATAGCTTACTTGTCTCCCCAGTCCGACGTGTATCTGTAATATAGCTCACAATAAAGCTGAAAGGGCGTGCGTAAAAACAGCGATACATTTAAACAAGTTATAGCTGACTTGTCTCACCAGTCCGACGTGTATGTGACACCAGGAGACTTCAGCCTGTGCCAATCCTAATGGGAAAGTCTGAATAGTCATGACGTCGAACAGCATAAATGAGCCGCTTTAAAGGAAAACAGCGCAGTCGCTAGTTCGCACGCCAAAGTTCTGAAAATATATACAGACAAAAAATCAGGGCATAAAAAAGAACTGAAGATATTTAATATTCTGACGCAACAACATGAAGGGGAAATTAATAAAACACTGCTGCTACACAATGGGAACGTACAGATCTATTTCAATTTGCCGCAACGTGCACGTCAAGCACACTCTCAAAAAAAAAAACGCAAGAGCTTATTCAAGTGTCTTCAAAACAAAAATTTTCACAATAATCCTCTGGCAAAACGAGTGTTCTCACTCGAAAAAAAAAGAAAAAGGGGAAACAATGAAGCACCAATAGACGCTTCGATGTCCTCAATATGAGCCCAGGAAGCTATTGAGCTCACAATGATTCTGGTGCCAAAGTTCCGTCCAAAAGAGAGGTACGAACCATGGATAGTTGAGCTTGAAGTCGGGCGAACATTTTACTCGCCGATGTGACGGCCTTGCGGAGCTCGCAGTGCATCCCATCAGAATCTGTTGATTCTAAAGCATGGTCGAGCTCTTTGCGAGCGTTAACAAAGTCCTCCAGGAGATACTTCGCGGCACTTGAGCTTGACGAGGCTTGCGACTCGATCTTGCACGTTAGGAAGTGTGTGATCAGACTCTTGTAAGGCACGCCACTCCTGCATCTGGGGCACGCGACCATGTGGAAGGTGCACTGATGCCTCAGGTGATAATCCAACTTTTCAAGCTTGTTTTCGTACTCGCAACCAAGCATCGCATTGACACAGCGAACTTTCTCGCTCGCGATGTCGTGCTTGTAGGTTCTGTATGATGGCCACTTCACTTCTATGGTGCGAGATACGGTCTTCCCGTCAACCAGGCACTTCTCAACGCTTATTTGACAGGCACATTCTTCGCAGATGATGTGTCCGCAAGACAACAGCTTCATCTTGTTCTCCGTAGCCATGCTACACCAACTGCACACGAACAGAGCATCCAGCTCGCGTAAAAACTCGACCATCTTATAGTCGACAAGGGAGCCAAAGCCGCGCACACGATACACGAATCGTCCTCCGCTGTCTGCCATTTCTTTCGAGCTTAGAAAAACTCTAGTTCTGGCAACTCAAGTAGAATGTGAAACGAAGAATTGACCTCCAATGCGGCACACGCAACTCGAAAGTACAGAGGTGAAGTCACCTTAAAGACTGCGATAAGTCGCCGAAATGGAAGTTGCTTCGACGAACAGCAGTCCGTGCCACGAACTGACGAAGACTAATGCGCGCCACAGTGCGCGCCCACAGAACACCTAGCGCGCCTGCTCAAAACCAAACGCCCCTCCTTCTTGGTTTGGTATACGTCTCAGCATACGCGGACGCTTCTCCTTGCTCCTTTCGCGCCCTCCCTTCCTCCGCCACTTTTTCTGCACGGCGATTGGTCTCTTCTGGGTCACTGTCTGATGCGCTTAGTGGAATTACTCACTCCCTTTTTTTTTTTTCCTTGCAGCAGGATAAGTTTGCATTTTCCCTGTTAGGGGTGCTCAACGCGGTTTTAGTTCTTATTTCAGGACGTATAAAAGGATTGTTAGATTCGTTACAAGCGTAGTTACCGAGTCGTTTTTCATGAAAATAGTTAGGAATATTTTTGTATTACTTCTACTATTATTGCAAGAGCAGTGGCAGTTAGGATTTAGGTATTGAGGTTGTTCTGACGCTCGAAAAGCAGTAGCCCGTTGGCATCAATTGCGTTTCGGTCGGTTGATTGGTTCAAATTGTACCGCGGTACTTTTTATCGATTGGCACTACGAAACTTCGTTTTAAATACGCCTTGATATTGTCACGGGTTAGTGACGTGAATGAAGGGTGCAGACTCCTGGTAGAAGAAGAAACTGTTTATTCGGACCGGACTTGTGCCAAGCAAAAGGGAAGTAAGACACTGGCACTCATAACGGTGAACAGAGCGTCGGCCGTAGATCAACTGACAGGCGGCGAATCGTGTTGGCATTTGTACCCTTGCCATCGAATATTCGGCGTTATCGCTAGCGACGACGTAGGTTCCCGAACAATCTGTGACGTTCCATAAGTGGGCGTAATCTTAACAACACCATCAACTAATTAAAGCCCCGAAGTTTCCCGAACACCAAAGGTACGGTTTGGGCTGAACGTAGTGCAACGGTGTGATAACAAAACTTGAGGAAAGGAACGTGGTAATATATCGATTTGAGTTTATATGTCAGACTTTAGGTGCTGATACGACGAAGCCAACGTGTCTAAAACACGTGAACCATCTCAGCTGCGGCGATTCACCGACGTCGGGCTGCGCAGCCTCGAGCGTGAACACTCAACGCTGGCCAACAGCTCAGAGACTGCCCCAGGTCTAATTAAATAGGTCGCGAAGGCTCGGGCGAATAGCGGCTCAGAAGCTATTGCCAACGACATCAGCATGGGGGAATAATGGGAGCGGCGATTGAAGCGCGACTATGTGTGGAGGGAACAAACCAAGTTTGATTCAAAGTCGAAGCAATCGATAGGTTTTACAAATGAGATTTTCTTTACCACGGCAATATTATGTAGGTGTTATGAACAAAGAAGTTATGATGGTTTTCATTATTACGAAAAATCTTTTTGATAGAGCCCTCTGGCTACGCTATTGCGATAGTATTATTCAGGGCAGCCTTTGCACTACATGGGTAGATATGTCAAGGCCCGCTCGTAAAATTCGTCTGCAAAGACACACTTCCTCACGTGTTTTAGTGTTCTGCGCTTGCGCGCGAAATCGTTAAGCGCGTTTTATCGTTGGTGAACGGCTTGAGTGAAGTGTCCAACTGTCAGCGGAACGACGCGAATGCAAGAGCTTTCGTCGGTAGGTGCGGAAACGATATGCTGTGCAAGGATGCAGTAGCAACAAACGTATGCCTGGTGACCCACGTCTTCTATATAGAAAACAAGGGCAATGGTTCGGAATGCACTGTTCGCTGGACTTTAATCCATCAGTATTCCTGCAGCTCGGTTTCCATCTTGAGCATGCAGCGCCTACTATTCGCGTTATCGATGAGCAGATTGCCAAGTTATCTATCACAGTACAATTCGCATGTCTTTATTCGCATAAGTAGCGGTAATTTAGCATAATGCAAAAAAAGAAAGGAAAACCTAACGCAGGGAGTGTCGGCATAGATTTCTGTTCTTATTACCATTTTGTGCAGATTATTTAATTTAGGTTATTGTTACCATTAAATACAACTAAAATGTCATCACTTTGGCGCGACTATGCGTCACTTCTTTCTGTGAAAACAGAAGATCACAAGCATTGTGCAGGCTAAAGAACCTGCGTATGTGTGAAACAAATCAGCCACACTGCAGATATCACATGCATACGCTGCTATGATGTTGGTTGCCTTAATCCATCGGCGGAAGGTGCCACGAACGGCGAATAAATGTTCGAAGAATAAGTTTTCTTGTAAAACCGGGGCAAAGTGAACGGTATAGTACACTCAAAGAGTTACTGACACAAAAACTTTGGCATCGCGTTTTTCTGCTGCAATGTGTTGCTGGGGGCCTGTTAGTCATGACATGACACATAGTTTGCTGCGGCACACGACACATAAATAATTACAGGCTCTCATTATCAATCAGTACCAGTTTCGGTATGACAGAGCTCAAAAACTGGGTGCAACTGTCGCCACCTAGTGTGGGAAGCTCACGTCAGCACAGAGAACTGAGGCGCACTTCCGCACGGTCCACATGAAGAATTACTTTCGTATAGGAAACGGAACTGCAATGTCGCCAGACACAAAACTTTCTGAGCGTGCTCCACGGCCACGCACTCGCGACCAGACGCCGAGAAATTTAGACTGCGGCACTGGCTGCTGCGATGCGCGCCGCAGGAGAGACTGCCAAAAGAAAAGTGGCGGCTATGACGTCATCATAACTTGTTTTGCTGACTGCAGCGTGGTGACGTGCCGAAGGGGTGCTTCGAGGGTGTCAACGGCACTATGGAGTCAAGGGCTCACGCAAGCTTCTAAATTCTTTTAAAATACCTTCCCAGCTAAATTCGCAGTTGATATTTCGCAGACGATATACGAATGTTCCTGGCAATCGACCCCACAGGCTATCTCGGCCACGAAATTTTGTGTCAGTGCCCCTTTAAACATCACTATTCATTCATGAGTCCGTGTTAGAAGATTATATAGCTGGCGTTGACTTGAAGTGCACTCGTGGATCACTTTAGCGCGAGTCCTTAGCGATCAGGGACACATGAAAAGTAATTTGAGGTGAAATTTGCAGCATGCGACAAACCTTTGTAACTCCACTTGCACTGGACAGATTCTTTAAATTTTTGCGGCGTTGAATAAGCTCTTCTGGTGAATTCGTTCCATGGTTATACTTAAAAAGTGTTTCAGGGCCCCTTTGACGCGCTTTGTTCGACGGGTGTCACGACGAAAACGAGCCCGTTCGGTGATTTGTAGGCGCATTTGGGGAGGCTCAGATTACGTCGAAAAAGGCCGGGATAGTGCAGCCATCGCCGCTAAAAACACACAAGAACTTTCAAACAGCTCTAAAATGGACAACTATGTCCATCTAGCGGAAAACATATCATGCCTTTCTTGAGGCGTTGATCAAGCAAACAGCAAACGCTAGATAACGTGCTACTATCTGTGAGGCATTGTGAGACTCTTTATGACCTCCGAGATAGGGAGCGCGTGGATTGTATCTTGGAAGCCATGCGACTCTTGTTTTAGATCAAGAACCTGTATGTATTATCATTCGCGCGCGCGCGCTCGTGCGATCTACTGTGTGCGTGTGCGCGCGTGTGTGTATGTAACAAAACATATTAATAAGTATTCACTTAGCGGTTGAAGGCTGCACTAGGGGCCGGATTTTGCTATCGCGTTCAACTCTTAAAGGCGGAGCTTAAGGGTTCCCCAATTTTGGCTAACGTAGCGTCACGGCGCCTAGCGTGCGCGCTCGTCAACGTTACGTCGGAGTATATTGAGCCTTCATGATGCGCTCGCGGCCGTTTCGCTGGCTCCGCGTATAACAAATTTGGTGCTACGTGATGCCAATGAATGCATGTGGGAGGTGTAAGGCAGGGGGACACAATCTCCCCAATGCTATTTACCGCGTGGTTACAGGAGGTTTTCAGAAGCCTAGAATGGGAACGGTTAGGGATTTATTTACAATACTGCTGACCCCAGTTAAGGGGTCGTAGCAGGGTGGAAAGAAACGTGTGCTACATTTCACAATAAAACAGACAAAACGAACTGCGGGATAAGAGTTAATGGAGAATACCTTAGTAACCTGCACTTCGCCGATGACATTGCATTGCTGAGTAACTCATGGGACGAATTGCAACTCATGATTACGGAGTCGACAAGGAGAGCAGAAAGGTGGGTCTTAAAATTAATCTGCAGAAAACGAAAGTAATGTACAACAACCTCGGAAAGGAGCAGCGCTTCGAGATAGGTAATAGTGCACTTGAAGTTGTAAAAGACTATGTCTACTTAGGGCAGGTAATAATCGCAGAGCCGAACCACGAGATCGAAGTAACTAGAAGAATAAGAATGGGGTGGAGCAAATTCGGCAAGCACTCTCAAATAATGACAGGTAAATTGCCACTATCCCTCAAGAGGAAGGTATATAACAGCTTTATCTCGCCGGTACTTAGCTACGGAGCAGAAACCTGGAGACTTACAAAGAGGGTTCAGCTTAAATTGAGGACGACGCAGCGAGCAATGGAAAGAAAAATGGTAGGCGTAACCTTAAGAGACAAGAAGAGAGCAGAGTGGATTAGGGGACAAACGGGGGTTAAGGATATCATAGTTGAAATAAAGAAGAGGAAATGGACATGGGCCGGGCATGTAGTGCGTAGACGGGATAACCGCTGGTCATTAAGGGTAACTAACTGGATTCCCAGAGAAGGGAAGCGGGTTAGGGGGAGACAGTAGGTTAGGTGGGCAGATGAGATTAAGAAGTTTGCGGGTATAAATTGGCAGCAGCAAGCACAGGACCGGGTTAACTGGCGGAACATGGGAGAGGCCTTTGTCCTGCAGTGGACGTAGTCAGGCTGATGGTGGTGGTGGTGGTGATGTCA